ATTCTGTGATTCTGTGATGAGAATAAAACAAACCAGGGGGAGTTCGCAGAAGCCTGAGGTTTCTCATGTAGTGCAGACATGCAGATGCTTCTGGTGAAATCTTCTCATTGCTTTACAATGAGGTACCATTGCATGCATTTTACTACAGTCTTGTGAGTTTAAAGAAAGGTTTGGTAAAAATCCCCAACTCTTTAGTGCTATGTAGGTAATTTCAGATTTTATCTTGATTTTCTTCTGCACGTACATCTTGAACACACTTATTCTGATGTAATGAATAATAAGTTAATGCTTCCTAATATAAATCCTTGACAATTATATACAAAAGGTTTTTTTTCCTGTGATCAGTAATAACTTCTGTGAGAAAAAAAAAATTCAGTAGTGCTTGAAATACTTGAATGCTGATGAACTTTCAAAGTGCAGTCAAATAACATTGTGTTCTGTGCTGCTGAAGACTATAAACTATCCATTCTGTAACAGGTTTTCATCAGAAAGTAGAGCTAAAGAGCAGTACACCCAGCCCACACTTGAGCTTAAACTTCTGCACGTGATCTTCCTACTTATTGGTAGGAAGACATAAATAAGTGTTTCAGCCTGTTGATCATGACAGTGTTTGACATGTGGATGGTGGATAATTTTTATTTAAATGTAACAGGAAAATTAAACATAAATGAAATATTTTTTGCTGAAGTTGTAGACCCTGTCAGTTTCAGAAACTACATGCTCTCTAGAAGTTATGTCAGTTGCTGATACTCAAATTAATGAAAATCTGAATTGTCTATTACTGTAACATTATGTGTGTAGGTTTGTCTGCTGTGTTAAAATATCTGTGAATAAATCACCAATGTTAAAAAGGAAGTCTCTTGTTATAAAATTATACGTTGTGGCTTTTTTTTCCAGCTGCTCTCATTCGTGGTAACAGAAACAATTGTACTCAGTTTTCCAGTAACCTCGATTGGCTAATAAGTAAATTGGACAGAGTAGAATCTTCTTCAGGTGAGACTCACTTTTGACAATGTAAATTACTATTGGTGTACATGGCTGTCTTGCATCATAAGTGTCAGGGCAGTTTTCCTTGAAAGCAAATACTCTACATCTTTTTTTAGTTGAGCCAAGTGTTACATTTGAGCAGATGCTTTTGTGGCATGTTTTAGTTCCATACGTTTGGGATGTTCAGCACCACATCCAATCAGTTTTGAACGTGACTTCAGGGAGCTAATGGATGTTCTCTACTACAACCTGTATCTGTGTCATTGAAAAGAGGGAGCTAAACTTAACACTTTCTCAAGTGGTTTGAAAATTATATCAGTTTTGGAAAGAAAAGATAAATTAACTATTTTGTAATGCATTTATGTCTAATGTGGTTCACATCATAGTCATCAATACTCTTTAAAAGTGCTTTCATTCTCTTTTTAGGCTGGAGATAAGATACTCAGTTATTTAGTGAACTTTTAGATTGTATTCAGTTGCACAGGTGATTTAATAACATTATTTCTGTGGCCTTTACACAGGTATTTTAGAAGTGTTACACTGCATCTTGATTGAAAGTCCAGAAGCTTTAAATGTAATAGCTGAGGAGCACATCAAATCCATTATTTCATTGTTGGATAAGCATGGACGCAATTACAAGGTATGTTTAGAAAAAGTAAGGATGTATTGATAATCGCACAATGATCTGTGGGGAAAAAAGAAAAACAAAGAAATGGCTACATGGAAATACATGATTCTGGTACCTTTAAAGGAGTAAAATAACCTGCAAATACGTCTGCAGAATTGCATTGTTGAGATTAACAAACAATGTGCAACATGTAGTTGCATTTCAGTTTCCAGTACAGCAAATATGTATGACAAGCAAATAGTTAAGAAGTATTGATAACTGGTCAGAACTTTTTGGATTTGCTGAGGGAATGAAACATTCTGGTGGCTGTAAGCATGTGGACAGAGTAGCTTTCTGTGTGAAAGCTCTGCAGAAGCAGTGAACTACCATTGTTGCATTTGTAGAAAACAGAACTAAATCCTGCAAAGTCATTCCTGAGTAGTAGTAATAATAATAGAAGAGAACAAAATAAAATGAGAAATCGCAGCGATAATCCAAATATCTGAAAACATAGGTGTTCAGAAGAAAGAAAAAACGCCTGAGTTACAACAGAAGTAGTGCTGAAAATTAATTTATACATCAATGTGCAATTTATTATGACAGAAGGTGAATACAGTTTCTGGCTGTGATCAGGATGACATCACAACAGAGGAGCATATAGATTTATTTTCTGTTGTGAGTTTCCTTCCTCAATTAAAATTTTACTTGAAAGACTGAGAACCTGAAGAAAGAACAAAGAAAGCTTTTAGTGAGCTGAAATTACTGGTTTCCAGAAGGTAACATGGAGAATCTAACCAACTACAGATGTGGAAAAGGAGAGGAGTATTTTTAACTATAGTTAAAGAGTATGAACTGATACAAGTAAGCATAAGAAAAAGGTTAAAATTACAGTGGAAAATTTAGCTTACTATTTTTAGCTGTTAGGAAGATTATTGTGCTGTGCTGGTCACCTCCAAGAAAACCTTTCAGCTGGAGCATCTTAATGTAGACCTCATAGCAAGAATTTGAAGTGGAAATTGAAGAAGACGAATTAGACAGGGTAACGGCTTTGTGCAAATTTCCATTTGTAATGTCTTTGACCAGACATCAGTAAGTAATGAAGTAACGGGTTTATTTGTTACTCTGGAAACAGTGTCACTTGTTCTTCTGCTATATTAGAAATTCTGTTGTGATTTAGGAAATAAACAATAATATTATTGCCGTGGAAATCATTGATTTGAAACGTTTTTTTAAATGAAAAGCCTTGTTTTAGAAATATAACAGTGAGATTATTTTAACAGTTTATATGTAAAATCTGAGTTATTGATAATGATTATCTTTAAGACACTTTACAGATGAGTACTGCTGAGTTTCTAAGATGATATTTAAGTTCCTTCTATCCTTCTGCTGGAGGTTTCTGTAAAATAACAGAAGTGATAGGAAGGAATCATACCAAAGTTAACACTATATTAGCTTAAACTGCTTCTAAGGGTGGCTTTGGGCTAATCCCCTGGGCAGAGAACAGGAGGGGCTAAATTAAATGCTCTGTTGTGCTGCTCCTTTTGTTGTACAACAGTTTCCAAAATGGTAGCAGCGTGAAGGTGTCGGAGGTGATCTGTAAGAGTTTAGATCATTTGGGCTCATTGCTCACCAATTGCTTGTCAGAGCTCCAGGACATCTTTAAGCCTCTCTGTTTCTTGCAGAAGTGTGCTGCTTTGTCCCTCAGCGGTAACCACCACCTTACTGTGCTCTCTCTTCCCAAACGTTTTGCTCCAGTAATCTGTGGAAGAGTTATATCAATCTCTCTGACTTCTATGAATGTGGGGGGAAAAAAAAAAAAGACATTTTAAATTTTAGAATCTTTCTGAAACTTTGTTTTGGTTTCTAGTGAATTCTTTCAAATGTTTTTCTTTTAAAAAATAAATTCTCTTTTTAAAAACATACTTTCAGAACAGATTCATAAGCAAGCAGTCTGAGAATTGCAGCTGAGAATTTTCCACTAATTTTGCTCAGAAAGTTTTTTGAACTGCAGTAAATTTCTCAAAGAATTACATTTTACGTTTCAAGGATCTAATGAGATATAATTTAAACAATTGTAAAAGGTTGGCATACAGCTGTTCTAGCTTGGCTTTTTTCTAACTGAAATGAGAGTAAGGAATCTCAAAGGAAAGTGTATTTTTGTAAACCCTGTGTGCCAAATGTGTGTTCCACAAATGTTTGATATCCTCCATCAGTGGACTACACCTGGTCCATATATATGAAAACTATTTAGAAAAAAATAATGAAAATGTGTATTTTATTCCTTCCTTTATTTGTGTTCTGAATGTAAATTAATTTAACAAATGAATAATAGTGTATGCACTTGCTTTTAACGGATTTTTAAAATATTTTTTAAAGGTTCTTGATGTGCTTTGCTCTCTCTGTGTCTGTAATGGAGTTGCAGTTCGTGCCAATCAGAATTTGATCTGTGACAATCTGCTGCCTAGAAGAGACTTACTCTTGCAAACGCGTTTGATTAATGATGTGACAAGGTAAAGTGACACGTTATTATATTAGAAAAATTACAACTTACATGTCTTCAATAATTAATTGAAGAAGATACTGTAACCTGAGAAATGTGACATGGCTTTCAATATTGAGACAGACACCTTAGTAAGTGTTTATATATTAATCTCTGAAAAAAACATTTTTACTAAGAATATGGTAATTGTAGTACAACACATGCTCAAATGGAAATTGCTAATTAGTAGTAAGACCTATTCTGAAATGAAATGATGAAAATTATTTGTTTGTCATTCAGAACAGAGCGTGACCTTACATACTGTGAAATACCTGTGTGTTTTAACAGGGATTTGGTTTTCTGGCAACCTCACTTCTGTTTTCCTGACTAGGAAATTATCTCGTTATTCCTCTTTTGAACCTGTACCTTACAAGATGATTCTACAGTAGCTTTCTAAAGTCGTAAAATGGGTCACAGTGTTAAATCTTGTGAGCGAAATGTGAACATCTGCACTCTTTTACTGTATTTGCAAAGTGAATTTGACTGTTACGCAGGAATGTGATTTGTGTGTCATGTTTTATGTTTGCACTGACTGGCTTACGTTTTCTTTCTTAGCATAAGGCCAAACATATTTTTGGGTGTTGCTGAGGGCTCTGCACAATACAAGAAGTGGTACTTTGAGTTAATAATCGATCAGGTTGATCCATTCTTGACGGCAGAACCCACCCATTTACGAGTTGGATGGGCCTCTACTTCAGGTTATGCCCCCTATCCTGGAGGTGGAGAAGGGTGGGGAGGCAATGGTGTTGGTGATGACCTGTACTCTTATGGTTTTGATGGCCTTCATCTCTGGTCTGGTAAGTACTTTGTTCACTTCCACTTATTCCTGCATTTACCTATCTTATTCTTGAGTTACCTGCCAGTACCTTCAGTACCTGTGTGTCCATAACATGCCACTTCTATAGTGATCTCCATTCAGACTCCAGGATACCATGAAGTTATTTAGAATTTCAGATCCGACCTCTTGTCTGAGATTTCAGTCAATATTGAATTATGCTTTTTAGTAAATAGCTTCTGTTTTCATGATTTTGATCAAGAAAAAGCATTCTCCTGATCTGGATCAATACTGACAGAAAACTGTCTGTTAAAAAAATGGATGGATATATTAATCTGAGACAAATTCATTGTGCACGAATCTACATTTGTGTTATAAATTTAAATGTTGATAAATAGTTTCCTAAAATATAATGTTGGCAATTAGAAATCCTAATTGCTACTCTGTTACCAGTGTGGTTTTAGAACATAAATTTCTGTGGTGTAGTAAAAACCTGAAAACCTGTAGTTGCTATGCTCTTTAAAAAAGTGGTTTTCCTATTATTATGTAGAATAGGCTTAGCAGAAAAAAAAAAAAATTGAGTTTTTCTAGGAATACTTACTAATGTGTGTAGTAATCTAGGAGACTGTCTGCAATGAAGTGGTTACACTTGCAGTTGATAAAGAAGGGATGCAAAAAACATGCAAATTTTGTGGTCACTTAAGTATCAGTGATGGTAAACTTGTGGTCTTATTAGCAATTATTTGTTCATGCAAATTGAAGATATTAGCGAACTGAGTTCACAAAAAGGTGAAATTCACTGCCCCACAATTGGATAGATTTGAGTAAGAGCTCTAGAAGAGCAAAAGTATTTTTACAGGAGGGCTCACCTCAAGTGTTGCAGTTCAAATAATTTTTGTAATAATGTGTGTGTTATAAAGAATAACTGGTGAGGAAAAAGGAGAAAAGAGGAGAAACTGATTTGGGTGATTTGGAGAGGGATAAGTGAGAGCTCCCTGGGCACGCACAGTTGGCTGTAAGCTGGCTTTGGAGCTGTGAGCAAGGCTGTTGGTTTATTAGGTGATTTTCCATATCCCAATATTATATCCATGGAAAAGGAACAAGAATGTGTGTTTGTGTAAGCAGACAGCTTTGTCGCAGCTGATACCTTTTGACTGTCTCAACGAGTGTTTCTACAGAAACAATCAGCAAAGTGCCGTTGGCTAGTACAGAACAACACAGAAAATGCTGATGGTAGTTCTTGTTTTCTTAACGTCCCTAAATGCTCTCTAAACAAGGAACATGTCAGAAGAAATAATGCATAGGGCTATAAAATAAGAAATTATTTAGGTAATTAGTTGTATACCCTTAATTACATCATCTGCTATTGTTTTAACATTTTTCTTAATTCATTCTTAATCGAACTCTGAATAAGTAATAGGAGGAGAAAGAAAAGCAGTAAAAATCAAAACCGACTGCTAAGATTTATAGATGCTTTTATATATCAGAGCTCTGGCAATTAGGTTTTGTACCTAAAATATTTAACTATCTGTGTTAATTGGTAAAGGTCTTCTGTTCATATAGAAGATTTTGTGAAAAATAGAGGTAAAACTGGATGGTCACCTTTTATTAACATTGTATTAATATGATCTAAAATTTTATGTTCTCTGGCTTATGCCTTAGTTAATTGTAAATTGTTTGAGAGCAAATTTTATTGACTGTGTCTCTGCCTCAGAGATAAAATTGAGTTGAAAAACGTTCATTTTCTGGAATGAAATGTGAACATTTTCCCAAAATTTAGACAAGTCTGGCCAACTGTTCAATGAAACAGTCAAACATTGTGTTGGGAATACAACATTTGATTGCAGAAGGCCATGCTGTTTCACCAGGAATTCAGATTTCTATATTTCCTCCAAGAGTCTTGGAAAATTTGTTCAAAAGACTTAGAAAGGACTTCAGTATCAGCGCACTCTATAGATCTGTCTTAATTTAATGGTTTGTTTCTTGAGTGTGTAGCCATTGATGAGCATTCAGAGGTTTGAGGGGAAGAAAAAGACATTATTTCAGTCCTTGTGTGTACAATCTTTAGTTATCAAGTAGCATGTTATTTTTCCTTCCAGATCTCTCTTGCATACACAGTAAACGATGGCTACCTTTTAGCTTGTTGAATTTTTTGCTTGTGCTTTATTTACTGGATGCTGTTCAAGGCATGTAGGCAAAATCATTAATTTCCTGATATTTCTTAGTGCCTTGAAATGCCATCTACAGCTATGTACTCTTTAATTGCTCAGAAGAGAATAGTATGGAGCCGTGAAATCAAAAGATGTGTCATAAATACAGCATACCTAAATATGCCGAATTTGATTTTTATGGCCTTAATTCTAATATTTCCTTACGTGTGTGTTTCATTTTTATATTAGCGTTGGTCTAGCCCAGAATTTCGTATATAATATATCTGTGTGTGCACACATAATTCAGCATTTTTTTTCAGCACCACTCAGCAATTCTCAAATGACAGAAATAATGATTTTGGGGAGTAGGCTGAGATGTGTCACATGCCCCATTAGAAATGGCTGAATAAATCATTAATACAAAATTAAATGCTAATTGAACCCTGGAAATACAGTGCTGGAAAGTCTTTTATATCTCATTTCCTGCAGTAAGGGAAAATTCAGAGTATTTCAACTGTCCTGAACAGTTGACTTGACTTGTTCTTAAGAAGTTCCAAACACAGTAATTTGGAATAGTGATTAACTGCTTAATTAGACTTGCTTTATGCTTAAAATACAGTGTTTTCAAGGGAATTGTTTTGAAAAGAATTCTCGGGAGATACTCTTTGGCTAAAAATTTACTCCTGTTCTCAAGTGCAATTGAAAAACTGCAGTTGTCTGTGAATGTGTGTAGTTAAATTACTTCAAATATATTATCTCTAGTTAATTGTTATGGTAATTGTTGAGTCCTGTGTATGGCTGTAAGGTTTCACCTTCCTGAGTAGGGAGAATGAAGCTCCTTCTGCTTAGTGTATGGCTGTAGTTGATAAAAAAAATACCTGGCCCAGGTTTTTGATAACTCGGTATACTGTTCTGCCTCTTGATACTGTAAACTGTGATTGTAATCACAGCTTCAATACAATTATAGAATCATGGAGTCATTTGGGTTAGAAGGGACCTTAAAGATCATCTGGTTCCAACCCTCCTGCCATGAGCAGGGACACCTCCCACTAGACCAGGTTGCTTGAGGCTCTGTCCAACCTGGCCTTGAACACTTCCAGGGATGGAGCATCCACAACTTCCCCGAGCAACCTGTTCCAGTATCCTACCAGTGAATATACCAAGTTACGTGACTCTGGTATTGCACAAATAACTGGATTAAAAAAACCCACAATTGGATATATCAATGTTAGCTTTATAAAGAGGGCATCAATTACTATGCCTCAGTACTCGTGCATCAGGCTACAGTGTGAACTTGTGTGATTTCAGCTGAGCATGTTCTCTTTTGCGAAGTGTCGGAGGTCTTGAGTGATTTGCTCAGTTAATGCACTTTTCTGCCACATACCAGTTTGCAGAATGTTGATTCACTCTGTCTCTAAAAGAAGAACTGTTCATCAAGCAGATGAAGGCAAGATCATGTCTTCATGACTATGAATAAAAAACTTGATGGTGTTTTTGAGGAAATAATTTCATTGCTAAACCTGTGAGAGTCTACTTAAAGCTTCTAATTACTGAATCCTTTTATCCTAGGTCGAGTACCCAGAGCTGTAGCATCTGTCAATCAGCATTTATTAGCCTCTGATGATGTGGTTAGCTGCTGCTTGGATTTAGGTGTACCCAGCATTTCATTCCGTATTAATGGACAACCTGTACAAGGAATGTTTGAGAACTTCAATACAGAAGGATTTTTCTTCCCTGTTGTAAGCTTATCAGCAGGTGTAAAGTAAGTACAACTTAATTATAATTGTTTTCTTTGCTCTCTTGTCACTCAAAATATTGCCCAAACTCATGTATGATTTGTTCTGTTGTTTCAGTTCTGCCCAGCCAGCAGCTGGAAGGCAGGGAGACAGGAAAGTACTGGTTTGTTTAGTGATGATTTCACTTAAGGCTGAAATGTGAGCCTGTTAGCAATTTGACCAAGTCACCGTGTCTGAAAATAATTATTTTATGGGTATTGAGTGACCTAGGGGAAACTAATTTTGTCTCCTTCCAATTATCAGTGTAAAAAAAGCACATTAAAAACACAGCACCGTACTTGGCACTAATTAAAGTTCTCACTGGCTTTCTCAGCTGGAAGTAAAAAATCTAAATCAGCGTGAAAAATGATACTATGTTCAGAGTAGGAAACACAAAGAACTGTTGAGGAGCAGTTTTGGAAACTTGTTACTAAAATTACCTGTTTCTTACCTGTTTTATAGCTAAAATACTGAGATTCAAAGTTACCATTTTCATATTTCTATCATTATCTTATGTTTGAATCATTCAGAAAATCTTCTGCGAATTTCAGACTACTAAAATGGCCTAAATATTTGTATTATGACACAACAGAGGATTAGTGCTTGTACTGTTGTTATAACATGACCAATTTCCATTCAGTTCATCTTAGAGCATCTTTATTGCTGGTATTGTCAGGCAACAGATTTAGGAAGGAAAGACATAATTAAGGAGAACTCTTCAGTAACAAAGATTGGAATTTTTCTGGTTTATAGGCTGACCATGATTTCTGCATAAGATACAGATAAGTTAGGAAAAATTTTCATTCTGAAAAAGCTCAAAGCTGCCTCAGGATCATCAAATATTTTTAAACAATGTATTTTTAAGATGGAATCAGGAGGTCCAGGCTTAATAGAAGTAATCAGTAGTGATATGTTTCTTGCAGACATTGAACCCCCTCCAGATATTTGTGACTTGTGCTTATGTACATCCAGTTTGAGGACTTTTGTGTTTTAATTATTCTCCTCTTTTTATATTCTTAATGTCTTTTACTGTCAATTGAATATGTTGATTTAATAGTCCAATTTAAATTAGATTTGTGTTTCCAAATCATTGAAATGTTTTAAAGATTTCACAGTTTACCACCATTTGATTTTAAGTAACAAATATTCTTTTTGAAAATATGCTGCTATGTGGCATATTTAGTTCTGCTTTGGGCCAAAACAAAATTTAAAAAAATAGCAAGTGAGGGATAGTGTTGTTGGTAATATCTGCTCTTATCAATACTTGGTAACTCTTTGGTGTTTATGAAGACATGAAATACACCTACATTTTTGTAAATGCTATTCAAATAAGTGTTTAAGTTTCTAAATGATGTATTTATAACATTAGTATATGTTGACTAAGAGTATAATTTCTTGATTGAAAATTGCACAGAGTTCGTTTCTTACTGGGTGGACGTCATGGAGAGTTTAAATTTCTTCCGCCTGCTGGCTATGCTCCCTGTTATGAAGCATTGCTTCCAAAAGAGAAGATGAAACTGGAACCAGTGAAAGAATATAAGAGAGATTCCGAAGGAGTGAGGGATTTGCTGGGTACAACACAATTCCTCTCGCAAGCTTCCTTTATCCCTTGTCCAATAGACACCAGTCAGGTATGTTAAGTATGCAGTAACGGGAATGAAAATATGTCTTAACAAAATTTAAAGTCACAACATTAAGCTAAGCTGGCTTGCCCACTTTCTTAGCAATTCATCATTTGTGTATCATAGTGTATTTAACTGAACTAGATGATCGTGGATCTAGAAGGTGTGGTAACTGGAACCTTTTCTTATTTGTGGAATTGTTATGCTCTTTTCTTAGATTGCTCTTCCTTTTCATCTTGAAAAGATCAGGGACAAACTAGCTGAAAACATACATGAACTGTGGGGAATGAATAAAATAGAACTGGGCTGGACGTATGGCAAGGTATGTTCTGAATCACCTGTTTGGGTGCAGACAACTGTGTTAGATTAAGTCTCTGACCAGAAAACCTGGACTTAGAAGTTGGAGTATTTAATGGTGGTCTGTATATTACTAACAATCAATAAACATGTAAGCTGACAGGAAACAGTGATAGAAACTAGTGATTAGAAGACAATTTTTGAGTATAAATAAGGTACGTATTTTAGTACAGTAAGTAACTAATAATTTGGAAAAATATCTTAATTGAGAAAGATACTGGCTACACTGAGATGGAGTTCTTCTGAAAAGCTTACCAATAGTGACTGACCCCTCAAGTAAATCTTTGGTTACTGTAGTGTTGGGGATTTAAGAGATAGAAAGTAAAAAATCCATTGTGGAAATTTGTTTCGGTCATCAAAGCTTAGGCTTTTTTATTTAATTGGTTACAGTTAAAACTTATCATTATAATGATCCCATATAAAGCAATAGCCAAACATCTTGAAGAGGGTGAGGCCATCTGGTCATCGTTATTTAATGACAAGATATTCCCTGCCCAGCAGATGCCACCAAATGAAAAAGAGTTAAAAAGGATAAGCCAGTAATACTATATTCAGGGTATTAAATTCAATAATTATATTAAAATTGATAACTTCCTCTAATAATATAAAATTCTAAAGGCTGTATTCTGCATTGAATTTAAACTATTTAATCTTGCTTTTTTTTCAAATTCATATTTTCTCGGGTAGTCCTCCACATGCTCGTCACAACTATATTCTACCTCAGAAGAATCTTTTTCCTTCTCTTCTGCTGTTTTTAGTTATGCACTTGATTTATCTTTTTCTTCAATAACTCTTATCGTGCTACCTACTAAAATGTCATTGCAATTGAAACTCTGAGCTTTCCTAACCTTTTTTACATTTCTGAGCTTTGGCAATTGAAAGTGCTTTTCACATACGAAAACGTTATATGTGAAATGCTGTGACTCTTTGTTGCCATCAGGATAGAAGAACTTGACATTGAATGAAAGGGCTTGTTTAAGTCAAATAAGTATTTGAAGACTTATGTCAATATCAGAAAAAGAATACTCTGCTTTATTATTCCAGTAGAATCTGGAATGTTTAAGATTTTTGAATCAGAATGTGTGCATTGGATCAGATTGTGCTCTACTGGGCTCAGGCATTCAGCAGAAACGTTAATAAGTTTACAGACTTACTTCCTTGCGGTTCGTGTATTTATGCAGAACACATAACATTTGTTGGTTATGGAGGACTTAGAGTGTGGATTGCAGGTGAATCAAGAAAGTTCATCTGTATAATGATGACTAACTGTAATTGAGCAAAGATAAGTGGTATTGTTTATAATGTCTTCATTATTGCAGAGAATTAACTGGTTTTTTTTATTTTTTACTCTGGTTCTGGCTTGCATCTGGTATCAGGAAAGTACTCTTTTCTGTTGCTTTGTTACAGATACGGGATGATAATAAAAGGCATCATCCTTGTCTGGTGGAATTCTCAAAATTACCTGAGACAGAGAAGAATTATAATCTACAAATGTCAACTGAAACCCTCAAGTGAGCTTTAAATTTAAAAGAAAATAAAGTTGTTTTTTATTTTTACTCAAGCGCCTCATACTGTTGTAAGATATTCTAATATCTTATTCAAAGTGTGTTCTGCTAACTGCTAGAAGTTCCAGGAACACATTCAGGGCAATTTAAAAAAATCTTGTCCCTACAGAAATATAAAGTAAAAACACCATCAAATCCAGTTGTTTTTAATAAAGTGGCATAATTTTAAAGCCACAGATCTGTACCTTTTTAGACTTGGAAGGTTTTATTTGTTATTTCTGATAAGTTAAAATGTTAGGGATTTGAAATTCTGTTATTTTGAATTACTTCCCTGTTTTTTGAATATCATTAGTTCTGCATATTTATACTAAAACCAAAAGAAATTTATAAAATGGCTGAGCACCATAATCTTGTGTTTCATAGTGCCACTTTTTTATGTTGGCAGAACCCTTTTGGCCCTTGGATGTCACATTGTTCATGCTCATCCAGCAGCTGAGGAAGACCTTAAAAAAGTCAAACTCCCAAAGAAGTATGTACCATAACATAACCATTATATATTATTTGTAAGTACAGAATATTAATTAAAATAGTTTTGTTCAAAGCGATTTAAAAAATACTTATGAACTCCATACCTGATACCGACTTAGAGAGCATGTAGTTGGTCCGTTGCCTGGCCTTTGATGATGGTTGACTGTGAATGCTGCTGCATTATAAAGAAGAGGCCAAAAAAAAAAGAAAATTACGGTTCTTAAAGTTGCACATTTCTAGGAAATGTACGTATGTAGATTATTGCATAAAATATAGTTGTGTTTTTGCTTTAATTGTTATTTGGTAGATAAACTATGGCAGATGGAGCTAAAATAGCTGCATGATGTTTTTTATTTAGACATCTTTTAGTCATCAGTATTAATTGCCCCAGAAGTGGTGAAGATTAATCAAGGATTACATCCATATATTTTCGCCTTGTCTGTGGGGATTCTGTAGTCCTCCTGGGACAGATTAAAGCCCTGCTCTGCAACAAAACTCAAAGACAGAAACAGTGATTTGGATACTTGCCATCTCACATCAGTTTATCAACCCACAAGCTGTGTTTTTACCTGAAGCAGCTTTATCTATGAGAACAAAGTTAGGTTTTTAAAGCAAACAGTAAAACATAATTTTATGATAAGGGAGATGGGAGGTGGTAATCTTGACCTAGTTGATTGCATTAATTTAAAAAAAGGGAAAAGAGGACCTTTCTTGAGGTTCATACTGCAGACAGTCTGTTGTAATACTGTTTGGATACTCTTGTCTTGAATAACAGAACAAATAAATCTTAGTTGGATACTCTGTCTTGAATAACAGAACAAATAGATCTTAGTTTCTGACTCTTGTTAAAATATCTACTGCCTACATGAAAAAGCCTAACAAATGGAAATCATCTGATTTAAGCAAGAGAGAGTCTGCGTATGTCTGAAAGAGCAGTCTTTATACTCCATGGAAGGGTTGGAGAGGGTAATATCTGCTATTAAAAATCTGCAAAACATCATTCAATGAAAAAGGTGGAAGAGCAATAATTAAAATATGTTTTCCTCTGTTGAAGAACTGATAATGCAATCTTTACAGACTACTAGATAAAAATACCCTACTTAATAATGCATAAAAAATATTTTCATAAAAAGTATTCATGCAGATCTTTAAAAAAGAAATTACTTGAAGAGTTTAAGTGGCATAAAAAAAAATGTAGGACTACTTATTTAATAACAATTTGGGGCTTTTGTAGTAAATATTGGGGATGCACATGCAGATCTGGGTCATATTTAACTAGATAGGGTGTGAGGAGGTGGGAAATGAGACTCTCTGCTAGACTACAGTTGATATCCCAGTCAATGAATAAATGCAATGCAGTATTTAGCAAAGAAATAGGAGAATAGGAGGCCAAAAAGTGGGGAAAGTGGACCCCACCCTATGAATGCCACATAAAAAAACTTTAAATACTATCAGATGTGTATCTTGACTCTATTTTCTTGTGCTGACTTACAGTTACATGATGTCAAATGGGTACAAACCTGCCCCTCTTGATCTTTCTGAAGTGAAATTGTTGCCTTCTCAAGAATTTCTAGTTGAGAAACTAGCAGAAAATGCACATAATGTTTGGGCAAAAGACAGAATAAAGCAAGGATGGACCTATGGCATTCAGCAGGTAAGGACTTTGTTAGATCTATTTGATGTAAATAAGCATGATATTTTCAAGAACATCACTTAGATGTGTTATGTTGTGTAATGTCTGGAAAAGATAGAGGGGTTGAGGAGAAGGAAGAAGCAGCTTTGCCCATGCAAGTCTGAGTAGACTGTCAGCCTTGCATGGCTGCAGCTACAAGATACGTGAGAGTGTACTTCCATACTCACTTTCATTCTTGGCCTTAGGTTTTTAATGTTATTAACAACTGGGCTTGCTTTCATAGAACTGTTCTTTCTTGATATAATTTCTCTCCTGTGATCTTAACATTATTTCAGAATACTCTCTGTCTTGTTATATAAAATATTTATGATGCTAAACTAGAATTTTCTTCTTTTCTATAACCCTTTTCAGGATCTTAAGAACAAACGTAATCCACGGCTAGTGCCATATGCATTACTAGATGAACGTACTAAAAAATCAAATAGAGATAGCCTCCGTGAAGCTGTCAGAACATTTGCAGGCTATGGTTATAGTGTTGAGCCACCTGACCAAGAGATAGGTACGTCCTTCCAATAAGAATTGTGGCCTTTTTTTCCTTTAGTGCCGGTAAAAGAACGTGAAACACTGAAATAGAGAGGAAAAGCATAACATACAAGTAAATAGTAGTGTAGTTTTGCAGTAGACTTTATTGAAAGGTGCAAATATACTGTGTAATTACTTGTATATTATTTAGAATTTTTTTAAAATAGATGAGTTGCAGCTAGTGATATCGTAATAGTGTTTTCCCTGATTTTTAGATGGAAGAAAATCTGAAATGTGTGTGGACATAATAATTTTCATTTGGAAATAATGAGAGGAAGAAAATAGTATGGGATTAATTTAAAGTATTTTTATTTTCTACATGCATATTGGGCGTGACTACTTCAAGTTAAACTCAGTTCTTATGTAGCAGTCAAGAAAGTGCACCAAGTTCAATAATTATTTTTTTATTATTGAAATCAGGAACAGAAATTCTTTTAAAGTATTTCTTCATATTTACTCTACCTCTGCAATATTTTGACAAAATATTTTTAAATGTTCTAAATGCATTGACTTGTGTAGGAAAGTGTTTTCTTGTATTGTAATACTGCATTATTGCATTGGATTGTATTGCATGTAGTAATCTTACACTTCTGAAGTTTCCTCTGGTCAGTTTTCTGTTTGGGGCTGTGCATTGAGTGGTACTGTAAATATCGTCGTTCTAAATAGTGAATAATCGCTGATACTGTATAGAATGAGAATATGCTAACCTCTGTATGGTGATTGCTGTTGCTCCTTTGTTTAACATTTACAATGAAGGTTCTTAAACATGCAATGGTAGGTAATGGCTGTTTTCAGAGATAGAAAATATTGGCGACAGATGAAAAGCTACACAGTGGCATTTATAGTTTCATGTAGTTATAAAAGCTGTGGGTTTTTTCTCTTGTTTATTTTTTCCAGCTGTCCAAACAGGGGAAAAAGTCAGCATTGACAAGATACGATTTTTCAGAGTAGAACAGTCTTATGCAGTGAAGTCTGGAAAGTGGTACTTTGAATTTGAAGCTGTGACAGGTGGAGATATGCGTGTTGGATGGGCCAGGCCAGGCTGTCGACCTGACATAGAGTTGGGAGCTGATGACCAAGCATTTGTATTTGAAGGAAGCAAAGTCAGTACATCTTTATATTTTCTGAACTTTTTTGAACAGGCTAGACAGAGAGGTTTCTTCTGTATATTTGAGATCAAGTACTGGAGTATTTTTCCTTCGTATAAAGATATCTCTGAGCTCTGTTTCCTGCTGGATAATGTCTGCATTTCAATTTTGGTCATTGAAATTATGCTTAAAGAGGTGTGTTGGTTTATATCTGACTTCCTGGAATATACCTTTTTTTTTTTTTGAGGGGTGTTTTACAAAAATAAAGCAAAGTTGTTTCAGGAACTGGAAGAGAGAACCACAATTCTGTTTTTCCCTTTTCTGTCTTTTCTGATTCCTGCACATTTTCTTCCAAACTTGACTCCTAAAGGACTGGAAAGATGATAATGACATGACAGGTGAAAAGTGGAATCCAGTGAGCAGTGGTTGTCATACAGGTTCTAAATTGTTATTTGTAGATTAATTAAATTGGAGTGCCTTAGTTCCTTTGTGTGAAATAAGTAAGATAATTACCTGAAAGCCATGATGAATATTGTTTGCAAATTACTTTGGGACTATGTAAAGTGAAGTATGTGTTTGTCTTTATTTTGTGTTTTATTTTCAAAATTTAACATGGTGTTTATTTACTTGTTTGTTTGGGGTTGGTTTTTTATTGTTTAGGGCCAGCGTTGGCATCAAGGCAGTGGATTCTTTGGACGAAGCTGGCAACCAGGAGATGTGGTTGGTTGTATGATAAACTTGGATGACAAATCAATTATCTTTACTCTGAATGGAGAGTTACTTATAACCAGTAAAGGTTCAGAACTTGCATTTGCTGACTTTGGAATAGAAAGTGGTAATTTTCTTTTATAGTTACGCGATTATGAGAAGACAAAACAAAACCCAGAAAAACTAGTCTAATCTTGATGGCTTAGTGAGCCATCAAAAATCAAATTGTATTTCACTGATGTGAGCCTTCAGACTGTGCTACATAGTAACTTCATAAAAATTTATTTTAAGAAGTGCTTATATGGCACAAATTGATTTTCCTTTTTTCCTTTAGCCACAAGTAGGTATTAATGGAGTTTCAGCAATCAGAATGGGTGATTTTTCTTTGAGCCTTGCTAGGTTTGCTCACAGGACTGAACTTCAGCAGTAAGAAGAAATGGCAATAATAAGCACTTTGAAAAATTGCCAAGAGGTGAAAATGTAGTCTCTGATTATCTCACTGGAACATATGCATACTATGTGAAGGACTAAATGTGTACTCTGTGGTGAGAGGCTGCACCAAAAGAACAAGTCTTGGCAATATAAACTGAGTCTGTTCTGTAATTATTTTTCTTCTCTGTCCTATTCATACATTATTTACATTTCTCCTTTTCCTGGGCTATTTCTTCTCTTCTGTTTTTGGCCTTTGCTTTTTTGAACAGTAGTATCTACATGACTGTGCTGAAGGAGGCAAGGAATATTTCCATTTTTAGTTGCCATTTTCCTTTGAAGCATATCCTCTCCAAGCAGTAGTGGCTTCATAACCATTAGTAACTACCAGGAGACTTTGCTCACTTTGTCCCTCTGTGGTCTGACCACTGATACAGTTTTTCTAATGGCAGAGAATGAGGGACCTTAAGAGGGCTTTGCTTAAGGTTTAAAGTTGAAGGGGTAGGAGAGAAAATATCTCCCATAGTCATATTGCTGACTTTTTCCCTGAACTGGCTCCAAGTTCTGCTTCTTGGGAGATGGATAAATAGCGCAACAGTCTTTCATCCCTTTCTATTGGCTGCTACACGTATGTGGAGAATCAGATAGATTCGCTCATAAAAAATGCCAGCCTTAAAGAAATGTGTATTTGTCCATCATGAATAATGGAGAGATGAAGGCTGGCAACAAATTTATAGTTACTCATGACAAACTAAGTTCTAAAGAGATGTACAGAGATACCTGAACCTCATCTGAAAGTCCTCTTGAAAATTCAGTGCTCTTAGAGACCATACTTAATATTTGTTAGGTAAATAACTTTAATCTAATTTAGCCAAAGTTGTCTTCTAGTGTCCAACTCATTGTATAAAGGCATGTTTATCAGTCTAAAAATGATGATCACCAATTCTTCTAATAAATGAATAACTGGCAAGCAAATCTTGAGTTTTCAAATCTAATTGTCCACAGAACTACCTCTTGACTTGGAATTTTTTTTTTGTTTTTCACACAGATCTACTACTACTTATTAATAAATGTAAAACTAGTTTAATATTTAAATAAATGAAATAGTGTGTATAATGTCCATTAATTGCCGAAGTCCTTGGGCTTTTGGGTAGCAGTTAAATTGAACTCCGACAGTATTTAAAGTAGCTTTAATCTTTGCTACTGTAATCACTTCATGTGCATTACTTGTAGGAGCTAAAGTTTAGATCATGATAGATGAATTCAAAATAGAATGCTTGTATTCTTGAAATTAATTATTGTTCTTTTTTGTTGTTGTATCATTTTCTTAGGTTTTGTTCCAATTTGTGCACTGGGTCTATCTCAGATTGGTCGTATGAACCTTGGAATGGATGCCAGTACATTCAAATATTATACAATGTGTGGCCTTCAAGAAGGTTTTGAACCTTTTGCTGTCAACATGAACCGAGATGTTGCTATGTGGTTTAGTAAACGCTTACCAACATTTGTCAATGTGCCAAAAAATCATCCTCACATTGAGGTAACATTACATGTTAGGGAGACAGCTGTTTATCAACTGTTTGTTTAGCAAGATGACACATTAAACCCTTACTAATACTTACTGTCATCAGATAATTTGTCATAGAAATCTATTAAGTCACTCTTTGATAATTCCAGATGATCTTGTCCATCTCCAACTTCGTTGATGGTAGTATTATCATTCATATGGATCTGATCTGTTATATGTTATATTTATGATTTTGTGTATAGCTACTTAAAACACGTCAGATGTGATTTCTTAGAATCTTTTTCATATTCTATCTTTCGTTCACTTTTTTTTAAAAAAAAATTCACTACTATACGTTTTTCTTGAATATCTAAAAATTGCTCAGCTGACCTCAGCATCACTTAAGGTAATGTAAGTATGAGCTAAACAGTGACTGATTTAGTCCATTTCACTAATCCAAGGGACATTTAAGTATACTTTAGGTATTGCTGAGTGATACCTGTTTCATTCATTCATTCATTCTTATGATGCACCAATTGCAGGAATTCCACAACTCCCTAACTGATCTGCTTTAGAGCAGAATAATATATCCTATGTTTTGTATAAAATACTCTATACTGATATATTCCACAATGGTATGTTTTAATTCCTGATCAGTTTTTTTCTTACTATAATCCCTAGGCAATTTATTTTAGTTTAGGTGTTTAGCCAATTATTTTCTAATAACTATCCTTGAATGTCTTTAACTTAAAAATACACTTCACTGAATTTCAACTAAATTATTTCAGCATTCTTTTCAGTTAATCAGGATCCTTTCAACTGTATTCCTGGCTTTAAAAGTTTTTGAAATGTTCCTGTCAAGTTTAAAAACATACTCACTTTTTCAGCACAAGGGAAAAAAATTTCAAACTCAGACTTCAGAATGATAATCAGAAGGATTCTGATGTTTCTTCTTAATGTGATGGAAAACTACTGACTCTTGTGAAGAATTTTTCAGTTACTTGTTCTCTCAAAGTGAATTAATTTAATAAAATCTATACTTTTCTTTGGAAAATGCTGTATGGAGCAACTTGAAAATATTTACTGTAGTTAGGATATACTGAATCTGTTACTTCCCTTGCCCTTCAGGCTCGATTTCTTGTCAGAGAAGAAAGTTGAGTAGTTTTGAAATTAATTAATTTTGAAAAACTTGGGTTATCTCTTGTTATCTCATTGTGTAGTTGCTTAATGAAATTTTTCAGCATTTTTCTTGAAATAGTATTACTTTAAAATATTTTCTCTCATTTTTAGATATGGCGAATTGACGGAACCATTGAGAGTCCACCTCGATTGAAAGTTACTCACAAAACATTTGGCACACAGAACAGCAATTCAGACATGATATATTGTCGTTTGAGTATGCCCATTGAGTTCCACTCAACATTCAACTTTGGCATGGGTGTGGAAAATGCCTCATCTGATGTTTTCCAAAAACGGTTGGACTTGGATTTAGTTGCTTTATTTCATGCTCTTAATGTAAATCTGATTTCATACTCTTAATGTAAATGTACAGGCAAGATTTCACATTTGGTTTTGCACTAAGCACATACTAGCATAGGATGCATGTTACTGAGATTTTTTTTTTGTTCTTGATGGTTTTAATCAAATTATTGCACAACTTTGCTTCAGAATGCTATATCCAGGCAAGGGAGAACTATTGCTGAAGAGGTGCATCACAAGGTTCATAGTTACTCATTGCTAAGTGGCTACCAGCCTTAAAAAATCGTTGGGATTCGCAAAGCTCTTCAGCCAGGCTGGAAAACCAGCTCAGAATCTTTTGCCCATTGCATTAATGCTCATCAACATTATTGTTCGGTAGCTCATTACTGGAAAAGTGACTAATTCATGCATAGAAAAAAAGATTGTGGGACAGATTTTTAAAGATACCAGATACTACTGAGTTCGGCATCTCCCAGCATTGCCTGCCTCTTTAGTTAATTGCTGTAAATCTATCTCTTCCTCCTGCCTCAGCCTTAACTGCCATCAGTTATTTTCTGTGTATGTTTGTGTCCTGTACAGTCTTTGCATACTTAATTTACTCATGCATGCTCAGTACCCAGAAAACATGAGTTATCTTGTAAGTATACTTAGTTTAATAATGAGTACTTCTATTTACTACTTCTGAAAAAAAAATTATTTACTGATGCTCCTTTAATTTTAGAAAGCACAGCCAAGAAATTGCTGCTCCTTCCACTACAGTAAGTAAATGCATTGAGGTGCTCAGTTCTTTTTAGATTTTGGAAGTAGATTTAGTTGTGGCAGCATGTTCATTAGAAATTGATCTGTTGGAAAGAAGCCTTTTTAATCATTTGCTATGATATGACACCACATATAGATAATAATGCCCAGAGTTGTATGACTTGAGACATTAACCTCACTTTAAGATAATCTCACATTAAGTGGTTTAAGACAACCACTTGTCTCTTGTTTTAGCTTATGAGCATTTAAAGTGACTTATTAAGAGAATGTGAATTGATATTATTAAAATTAAATATATAGGAAGTTAGTATTCAGATTTCTGTTACGAATATGTTATTTTTCTCTTTACAGTATTTTTATTCCTTACGGATATTTGCTGGCCAAGACCCATCCTCTGTCTGGGTTGGCTGGGTAACACCAGACTATCATTTTTACAGTGAGAATTTTGACCTAAACAAAAATTGTACAGTAACAGTTACTTTAGGTGATGAGAGAGGCAGAGTTCATGAAAGGTATGAGTTTATTTATGCTTATTTAAGATTGTATTTTAATAGTGTTTTTCAAAAGTGAATTATTCCTGTGCTTGATGATATTTTAAACATTAATTTAAATTAATAAGAAAATTGATTATGGTGCAGGAGTGTTCTGTGCTCATTTATATATGAATGTGTTTTATACAACTTGTTAAATTGAGTAAATTTATCATTAATGTTCTATTTGAAAGAATGTTTTGAGATGCTTCTTTCTTTTAACATCCAAAGTTGGTTTATTTGTTTTAATGTATCTTATGTAATCACACATAGGAATCTGAAATTACTTTATAATCATCAAAAAGGAAAAAAAGTGAAGGTGCACTAAGTCTGATCCTTTACTCATGATGCTCACATTATCAAAAAAGGAAGGCTGTTAATGAGGAAACAAAACTGAGCAGCACAAGCACCTTTGAGGATCTCTTTAACTATTACTGCCTTGAAAAGTAAATCTTCCCTGAATACTTAGTCAAGTTCATTGTGACCTATGCTTTGTTTTCTTTCTTATTGCTCTTTTTTCAGCGTGAAGCGCAGCAATTGCTACATGGTTTGGGGAGGAGATGTAATTGCTAATTCCCAGAGATCAGCTCGCAGTAATGTTGATTTAGAAATTGGATGCTTTGTTGATCTAGCTACTGGAATGTTGTCATTCACAGCCAATGGAAAGGAGCTTGGCACTTGTTATCAGGTATTATCAGATTTTGAGGAAGCTAGCTAGTAAGCTGGTCGTTTTGACGCTATTATGAAACGGTTTTTTCTTGTTCAGAAATCTAGCTGAACACTATTTGTGTGATAATAACAGGTTTTCCCATGTTATTCTGGTTTATCTCTGTTTTTCCCTCTCTCATTTTTCCAGATTCTTCCAGTTCTTTCAAATGTTGAGGAAAGTCATTGGTAGATATGTTCAGAAAAATATTTTTTTGCCTCTCAATATCTTGATTTAGAATGTTACTTTTTGACAACTAAATCTGTGATATAGCAGAAATATTTATTTACTATAAGGTCAGAAATCAGACTTTAGATACAGTAATTTTTGATATGGATTGAGAAAATTATTTGGAGATCTTGGGATTTGCTAAATTTCAAAACCCAAAATTCAAATATGCATTAAAGTGCAAAGCCAAAATAAATATGGTGTGCCCTAAATGCTATAAATATTCTCAAAATGTGGAGTCATTAATGTAAGCGGGTCAGTAGCTGAAACAAGTTTTCAGCATCAGATTGCTTTTAGTAAGATCACTTGTCATTAGCAGAGCATCTAGATCTTATCCAACATTAGATCAAAGCATTGCTTGCCTTCTTCTCTGTCAACACAAACCCCACAAATCTGTAATATAGATAAAACTTAAGTGTTATTCAACTAAATTTGTTGGAACGTTCTATACTGACTCTATTGAAGAGGACTGGGCCAGGGTTGCACAGCCTATAAATGGGAGTGGGAGATGATCTGGCAGCTCTGGTTTTGGTAAATTTTGTAAGAGTGGACAGAGGCTTCAGGGCTGTGTTTGAAAAGAATCAACATGTGGTGTTTCCAGAGTTGTTATGGGTGTTGGGAGCCCATGGGCAGCAGAAACACCTGCATGAAAGTTAGGTGGGCCTGTAAAGATAATTGAGCAAATATTTTACTGTATTAAAGTCAACTACAGATAGGCATTAATCAACACTTTAATACAGGGTCTGCAGTTATTTGATAATGAAGCATAAGATATTTATTTTATATTGTATCATATTCTAGGAGATTTTTTCTTTTTTCTTTTTAAAATTTTTTTTAATCTCATTTCTTTTCTAGGTTGAACCAAACACAAAGCTTTTTCCAGCAACTTTTGTACAGCCCACAAGCACTAACTTGGTACAGTTTGAACTTGGTAAATTAAAGGTACAAAATACTTTCTTTAAAGATGCTCTTTTAAATCTGTTTATTTCCAAGGAAATTACTGCTGGGTTGAATTTGTTTAAGAAGATTGAATCAATGACATGACATTTTATTGGACTCCTGGATTTACTTCTGTAAATGTTATTATTATATGAAGTGAATTGTTCAACAAATCTAAACTGCATTTGTTATTTGAGGACAGCAGCCTTAATGTTTAGGTTTCTTAAATGGAATTTGTTTATTGCAGTGACATATATTTCTGAATTCTTTGCTATCAATAAATTATACTTCCCTTCAGTATTACAGGTTTATTCATTCTTAGATGTTACCAAAAGAATTTTAATACACTTCCTTGTTTCAGAATACCATGCCTTTATCAGCAGCAATTTTTAAAAGTGAAGAAAGAAATCCTGTTCCTCAGTGTCCCCCTCGCCTTGATGTGCAAACAATTACACCTGTTTTATGGAGCAGGATGCCAAACAGTTTTCTAAAAGTAGAAACCGAGCGTGTCAGTGAACGTCATGGCTGGGTTGTGCAGTGTTTGGAACCTCTGCAGATGATGGCACTTCATATTCCAGAAGAAAACAGGTACATTTGGAAGGAACTACAGTGACCCGATGCCAAAATGTGTTGAAAGCTGATATCTGGGTATTGGCTAAACCTACCTCAGAGAATATTTACAGTAAAATTGTTCAGAATTTATGATCTGCTGTAATATCATATTTATGTAATTTAAGTAGATACAAGAGGCTGAATAATTTTTATACCGTTTGATGAGTTTTGCATACATGAGAGAAAACAAAACTATCTTATTTTATTTAAATTATAATAGAATCTCTACATCTGTAAAAATAGAGATTTTTCTCAGCTTCAAAAAAACCAAACAAAGCCAAATATAAAGAACATGCGAGTGGTATTTTGAAATACTGAAATAAAACCATGTAATCTCCTACTGTTCATCTGCTCTGAATTTACATGAATTAGGTTATGTTCTTAGTGACAAGATTCCTGACTTTCTTAGATTTTAATTAGATTTTATTTTCAGATTGAGGATAATAAACTATTTGTATCCAAATATCAAATATTATAACCAATGTCAAATCAAACTATAAGCAAAAGCAAGGCAGAAAGATAATTTATCTGTGGTACTTGAATCAGTTACTTTGCAGCTTCTTTTTAAAATTCAATTTTATTTATTGTTAATAAAACTTAATTCAGGAAAAGAGTAAAAAATACTGTGTTTTTAGGAAAGAATAAATCAGTAATCATCAACAGACTATAAAGGCACTGTTCAGTACAGAGTTTCAGTATTCCAAATACTTCTCTTTTAAAAACCATCTCTAATTTACCGTAGCTCCCAAAGAAACGTCTCTGTCTTAGACTTTTTTTTTTTTTTTTTTCCCCTGTGAAGTAGTAGATGTAAATAATCTTAGCACCATTTCCTGTGGTTTAGTGATACACATAAGATTATTCAGTATGAGCCTTAATCTTACTGGTTTAAAGTGGAAAAATGTGCAGAGATTATAAAACTTTTTTTTCAAAATTATTATTTATGAAATTGACTGGTGTTCTCTTTCTTTGTTTCATAACAGATGCGTTGATATTTTGGAACTATGTGAACAAGAAGATTTGATGAAGTTTCACTACCACACTTTGAAACTTTATAGCTCAGTTAGTGCTCTAGGTAACACTAGAGTTGCTTATGCACTTTGTAGCCATGTGGACATATCTCAGCTATTTTATACAATAGATAATCAATATTTACCTGGACTCCTACGTTCTGGATTCTATGACTTGCTTATTAGTATTCATCTAGAGCATGCCAAGCAAGCCAAGCTCATGATGAGCAATGAATTTATCATTCCAGTTACAGATGAAACTCGAACTATTAAATTATATCCTGATGAAACAAAGAAGCATGGTTTACCTGGAGTGGGGCTTAGCACTTGCCTGAAACCAAGCTTTAATTTTTCTACTCCATGTTTTATTGTGCGTCAAATGTCCATCCCAGAAATACCCCTTGATACACTTAAATCCAAGGCCATAAGTATGCTAACGGAGGCGGTCCAGTGTAGTGGTGCTCATATACGAGACCCTGTTGGAGGACAGGTTGCATTCCAGTTTGTCCCTGTTCTTAAACTGATAGCAACGTTGCTCGTAATGGGGGTTTTTGATGATGATGATGTGAAGCAGGTGCTACTCCTCATTGATCCCAATGTTTTTGGAGATCACAAAGAAGAAGCAGAAGAGAGGACAGAGAAAGAAGAATTTACGCAAGTTGAAGAAAAAGCAGTAGAAGCTGGGGAGAAAGCAATAAAAGAAACAAAAGCTCCCGCAAAGGGCTTATTGCAGACAAGATTACCAGAATCTGTTAAGCTTCAGGTGACCATTTAATATTACATATGTTCTACTATTGATGGAAGAGAGGTAGAGCTTTTTGTCTGTTCTCTGGTTTGTCAGGTTGGAAATCCTGAAGATCATTATTCTGCATTGCTTTATAACCTCACATTAATAATCAAATTTGATGAAGATGCAATTCTTTCCATATGTATCTGCACTCGAAATAGATATGCGAATAGCATATGTATTTTATAGGCGTGTTTTTAAAGAGGGAAGGCTGGACCAAGTGACCTTTAAAGGACCCTTGTAACTGAAACTGTTATATGATTTCTGCATGTTTTGAGTGCATGGAATGAAAGACTGTGAATGCAATGCAGTATTATTGCTTGGGTAACAAAACTGCATAAATTTGTTACCTTTACAATGTTAAAAGAAAAATAGGGGAAAATGAGTTTCTCATTTTTACAGTTTGTTGCAGTAGCCACTGCAGTTCTTCCCCAATTGGAATTTGTTAAACTCTTGAACTCATCTGTTGTTTCTGTCCTAGATGTGTCATCTACTCAATTATTTCTGTGACTGTGAGCTACAACACAGAGTGGAAGCAATTGTATCATTTGCAGATCGTTATGTATCAAAATTGCAATATAATCAGAAATACAGGTACAATGAACTCATGCAAGCCTTGAACATGTCTGCTGCTTTGACTGCCAAGAAGACTAAAGAATTTCGGTCTCCTCCTCAAGAACAGGTAATATTAAACAAATGACTGAATCTAAATATAAAAAAAAATTCTTTGTGATGATAAAATATAATTCTGACTTCTAAACTACCATTACAACTGCTAAAGAACCAAAATTGAATTTGAAATAAAATTTACTAATATGCCACAAAATATTGAGTGTCAGAATGCTTATACCTTTGCTCCAGAATTCAAGCTCTAAACCAATGTTGATCTAGGATTTCTTAACAGTATAGAAAAATAGAATGCTGCTGAGAAGCTGAGATTCATCCAGTGGTGCAAAATGATGACAATTTAATAATTTTAGTTGCTAAAAGTTAGCATGAAGTTAGTATTGTGCTGACATCTGCAAGTTGGAAATGGTAATTTCTGCCTCCAGGAAATGGCTTTATTTTTAAGTGTAACTGCATTTTGATGTTAATCTTAATTAAAGCTGACAGAGTACTGTTGCTTTAGTATTTCCGTTAAGCTGCATTAGAAATCTATGTTATATATTAATTTATTGGTAAATTTGATTATAAACAGGTAAAGTGTGGTTGTTATTAGAATGTGTCTTAGACTGGCTCAGTGTTTAAGTGTGATTTAATTCCCTTAAAGATTAATATGTTGCTGAATTTTCAACTGGGAGAAGATTGTCCCTGCCCAGAGGAGATTAGGGATGAGTTATATGAATTTCATGATGATCTTCTGATTCACTGTGGTGAGTTGCAAGCTGTCATTAGGTTTTTTGTCTTTTTGGCACTTTACATGAAAAAGAAGAGATCATTAAAAAAATACTGGTATGAATGTGTTTTTCCTAATGTATTACTGTGTCTACGTGGTGACTTTCCTGACAAACTTTGGTGCATATTACAAATACACAAAACCTGTGCGTGATTTTATGTTTGCTAGATATCATCTGGTATTATTCTTGTTTATATATCAGTTTTAGAATTAACGAGAAAAAACAAAAATAATCCAAACAAGAAGGTTGGATAATCTCCGAAGATTTATGTAGTCTCTGTGTATACAAACAGATAAAAGGTATTGAAAGAATATACTTGCTGGGAAGCTGAGCAGTAGAAAATTTAATAAAAAACATTAGATGATGGGTGATGCTGCTAGTTTGCCTTAGTTTCCTAGTATATACATAACCATGATGGTCAATCATTATAAAACAGTACTGCATTGAAGATTACAGCTTCAGTTGCCCAGATCATGGAATTTGAATTTCCTTAGGTTATCCTCAAGGGTGACCTATATCAGATACCTTGTGCAGTTTGTGTGGGTTAAGGAATTGCTTTCTATATGTGACATCAAAAATCTTCTGTTAGTCTATTGAAATACTAGTTTAATCAAGACAGTTGTGGAATTATTAGTCCGTTTACAATTATACTAACATTTATGGTCAATCATCCAGTTATTACTGCTCATTCCCAATAATTATGCGGTTAAAACTGATACACACAAGTTTTTTCATGTTTTTCAGTGCATTTCTTGGTGCTATGGTTCCTTGTTCAAGAAGGGGGAATAGGGTCATGACAGTGAATTGCCAGCATTTCCAATTCTTCCCCAGGAAGCGATCAGTAAACTTAATAGATTCTCTCCCCCCTTTCTGTTTGCTTGAAGTCTCTTCTAAATCTTTACTAATACAGTCTCCTAGTTCTTTTTTTGCTGATTATCCCTAAAATCAGTTTTACCCAGCTGATGGAATTGCATTGTTTTAATGACCTGTAATTAGCAGTTTGTGATTTCTGTTGCCTTCCATGCTGTTCTGTCCTTGTGTGGTTAAGGCTTCTGCTATCATCTTGTGCTGCTATGTCCAAATACCTTATTAGAACTTTCAGCAACCATCAAGCTGTGATTTCATGATAAGCCAGTTGCCATTTTTTTAACTACCTCAGCCAAAGATGAGTAAGTCAGTGGGTATCTAGGTGGTGTTTCATCAGCTTATTTCTGAGGAAGTTGTACAGGACAGCATTAAGGGTTCTTAAAATCAAGATTTGTATTTCTAAGGTTAGCTGCATTATAGGTGGAAGTTTAGCTGGTTTAACGTAATTTGGCTTTTACAAGCCTGTGTTGATTGATTGTTATTCATTCTTGCTTCTAAGTGCTTACCAAAACCTCTTTCCTTCATTCCAGCATTTTTCTTCCAAGTGTCAAAGTGAATAGTTAATATCTTCATAGCTACTTCTCTTTCTCACCATTTTTATTCAGGCAGATCATCTCCATTGTTCAGTCACTTAGCACTTGATCTGATTTTCAAAGATAATGCCTATTTGGCATCAGAGAGCGCTCTGAGACTCCAGGATGAAGGTTATGGAAGACCCGTAACTTGGGAATGTCTTATCTCTGCAGTATATTTTACCTTGAAGTTGTCCTGCTAGTGTTATTGAGTTAGCTTAGCTCCTGATACCTCTTTACCTTTTCATGAGGTGAAACTCTACTAATTGTGGTGGGTTTTTTTCTTTTCAGGGGTGTATTTTTATGAGTTCACTACATTATGAATGTGCATGTTGAATGAGGGAGAGAATTGAAGATAGAGAAAGCATGATCTCATGATTAAAATAGTTTAACAATCCCCTGGAATCTAAACAAAGCCATATTTGTTACTTTATACACATTTCTGATAGGTGGTCACTAGGGATAAATGCTCCTCGTTATCTGTGTCCTGACCTAGTCCTGAAAATCAGAACTAAGCAATCACAGCTGCAGACAAAAAGAATAGGAGTTGTGCTTGGAATATTTAATCAAAAATACTTTGTGGCATAAGTGGAAAAATATGCATGCAATCAAGTAATTAAAAGCTGCTTCATGATGAATATACGCAAATAGTCTGAATTAAAGTTACTGAGGCAGTCTTAATCCTAACATGTCCTAACTGTGAGTGGTTAATTTTGTCAGCAAAATAATAGTTCTCTATCATAAATTTTGTGTGTAATTTCTTGGTTATAAGCAAAACAAACAAATTTTTGACAAATTTCAATGCATAATGCCAAATTGACTCTTATCTGGGTTGGAACCATCTGTTCCAGTGCTCAGGCCTCTGCTGCTTGAATTAAGGAATTAGCCAGTAGCAATATGAGATGGTCAGCTTCTGAATGGATTGCAACTCCGAGAGGATGCAGAATGAATAGTGAAGGATATGGAGTAGTGAATGAAACCCCATCTAGAACAGGCACAGACCTCATTTCCTTCAGTCTGATGCTGTCTTAACTCATCATCCCCATGTGTTTCTTCTTGTCTCTCCATTTCAGCTTCTCAAGAATTTTTCTCCCAGTGTTTCTCTCTTGCTTCCAGGGCCTAGATTGGGGTTTTTTCAACGCCAGAAAGGATTTTCAAGAAAACAAGAAACTATGTTCTCTTTCCTTAGTGGCTACATTTCCCATTCTTACTTGATCCAGACTCTAAATATATCTTTCCTTCATTCTTAGCTTTTCATTTTGCCCAGCCAGTCTCATTTTTCCCATTCTTTAAATTCTCTATAAAGTTTTCAATTTCTAATTTTCTCCTATGCCTCTGAATTATTTTTTCTTCCTAGTCACTTCTAGTCGTAATTTTAACTCCTTCCTCTTGCCAGCTGCAAGCAGCAGTTTCTCCAACCTTTTTTCCTTTCCTAATTTCTTTTCTTAATACCAGTTTTAGCCTTTGCAATTTACTTTTTTTTCCTCTGCTCCAACTTGTATCTCTTTAGTGTTATGTGTGGAAATCTTTTCCTTTCCTCGGTTTTGCTTTGACTAGCAGCCAAACAGCAAAAGCTTATATTTTGGCTTGGCACAGTTAGATCTGGTTTCAAGGGAACCTGCTTAGATGTTCTGTGCTTCTGCACGTAATACATGTGGTATCTGATTTTCACTAAGAGCTGTGAAAGATTTGAAAATACTTCAAGTGGTTGTGAAGCAATGCAGTGAACTGACCTGTGTTAAACCACCCTGGAGAATGACATCCTGTCTCATCATATACATTTTCATGAAAAAGATGTACCAGTATAATCTCTGAACATCTACCTTCTTACAATTTTTAATTCATTTAATACATTTTTTTTATAACTGCTGAATATCTTGAGTGAAAATTTTTATTATATTGTGAGATATGGCTATATGTTTGTTTCTTTAGTTTACTTTCTGAAACAAAGCATCACATTTAATCAAATATGACTCTGAATCAAAATTAATTTTGATAGTAGAATCTTCCAAAAATACTCTCTTTGGTCAGAATAATGAGAAAAATAATACTATAAATCTGGAAGTGAGTGTGTGTACTGAAATAAATGTAATTTGAGTGTGTCGCGGTATACCAAAACACACTCGAGAGTTTGGACAAAATTTTGACACCCAGTGAGGAACCCATATTTAAGAGGACATGACATACCGTTTCACTGAATGGTAACATGATGTGAGCTGTCTGGTTTTCTTTTCTAACCCTTCAGAACTTTCAAAGAAAAGATCTAATACGCTCTCAATTGCTTCGGATGGAATTTAAACTATGTGGGCAAGATATCAGAGCCCAGTTGTATTTAAATAGTCGGTAAAATATTCTGAGCCTGATTGGTGTGGTTTTTTGCCCCACGTTGCGCGCCAATAAATCTGTCGTGGATTAGGACTGGACTGGCATCTAACACGGACAGACGCTCTCTAACCCCCTCTCCCCCCTCACCCAAACAGAAAGGAAGAGGGAATGAGGCAGAGAGACTTACGGGTTAGAGAAGAAAAAACTAGAACAGCTTTAATGAAACAATAGAAATAATAGTGGAATGATAAAAGTAGAGAACTATATAGAACCATAGATAGTAGCCCGATATTGAACCCGACTCCCTCCCCCGGTATCAATCCCCACTGATGCTGCAGAGCAGGCAGCACTGGGGAAGCCCCAGGCTCAGTGGCAGCGGGAGCTGGATAGAGAGAGCTGAATTTGGGAACTTAGGATCAAAAGCAGGAGGTCAGATGGAGTCCTCCCTGGACGCCAGCCATTGCAGAAAAGGGACGAAAGTCTCGTGATCACTCGATTTATACTAAATATGATGTATATGGGATGGAATACTCTGGTTGGTCACCTGTCCTGTCTATTATCCCCTGGATGTGCAACCTTTTACTTCCTTGTGACCCCTCTTACTACCTGGCACCCCCAGCCTGGCACACAAGAGCCAGCAGTGGCCTTGGTCACTGCAGGAATAAGTACCAGCAAGAGCCTTTCTGCATCCCAGTCCCAGGCAGTAACTGTAAACATCAGGCGTTATCACTTCCAGGAGCACACGCTGTCTGCAAAAACATGCTGCTAACTTCAGAAAGGGCAGCCTTTTAGAAGAGATGAAACTGGAAAGTAGAAATCAGTAAACAGAACTGGGTTTTTAGCTAAACCCAGGACAGAGTGATAAAGTGTTAAAGCTACTGGCCTTACTACATGAGTTTTTTTCCGGTGTGAAATTTGATGGTTAAACAAGAATTCCTGTAGGTATTTTGGTGTTTTTGAAATATTGAAGGAGTTAATCTTCAAAGGTTTTGTTTCTAACCAGTTGTATTATCTTCTAAGGTATTCCGCTAGAAGAGGAGGAAGAGGAAGAGGAAGATTCCTCCTTGACTGGCAAACTTCGTTCATTAATGTACAAAATCAAAGGTCCACCAAAAGCAGAGAAAGTAGAACCTAAGGAGGAAGAAGAGAAATCTCCTAGTAAGTTATCTTTCCACATAAATACTTTCCTGATGCAAATGTTAAAGGTGTATGGAGTCAGCGTGCACCTTGTCTAATAAAACTTTGTGGCAGAGTGAAGAAGGAGACTACATGTTGAGGTTCCTTCTGCCTCTTAGAGCAGTTAATCCTGCATACTTAACATCTTGGATGCACTGTTACGCAAGGAATTAAAATGAGTGAAGATTTTTTGATCCAGGTTGTTAACTCTGGGATTGAAAGTTTACATATTCTTTATGAAGAAAAGTAAAAAGTTAATTAGGACACAATAATCTCAACTGAAGTATTCCAAATGTGAGAAGTTTCCATTTATATGTTGTGGGTTTTTAAGTGCAGAAACTTTCTTCTTTACAGCTTAACTTCATTTCATTTTTCTTGGCTGTATGAGAAGCTTTGTGTGTCTTAGTACCAAGATATATATGACAAAATGGTTTTACAGTTCTTGGGTTTTATCTAAAAAGCGGTGGCTTTTGTTTAATTTCACTTGATGATGGTGAATATATACATTCATTAAAAACGAATAACTTCTGATTTATCTCAGGCATCACATACATGTATATGTACATATCCATACCATACTCTTTCTGACCATATCCCTTCTTAATTTGAAGAAATTTTAAATCTATTTGACTAATTAAACAGAAGGGACATCTATATTTTCACGAGTACAAATTCTGTATTTGTAAATACTTGAGTTAACAGAATTTTCCAGAATTTAGTAGTGGTATTTTTTATTCTCCTCTTTGCTTCTGTAGGTCGTTAACATACATCTCTAAAATCAGTGGGCAAAGAAAAATACTGTGGAGATATCATCAATTTGCCTGAAACTTTTTCTCTATAGTTTATATATCTCCTTGCCCTTTGTAGTGAGCTTTCATGTTGCCTAAATATACAGACACCATTCAGCAGAATTTTTTAAATATTCCTTTCTGCAGCAGTATATTACAGACGAGAGGGAGGACTGGAATATCCCTGTGTGTTTACTGCATAATATTAAGCTATTAATGTTTTTTAAAAAATAGAAATATTTAATTCAAAACATTGGAAAAGTCTCTGCATATGTTTTGAAAATAATGAGAGACAATTTAATTCGCAGACCTTGTAACAATATATATAGGAGAATGTACGTTGCATCACTGAAAACAGTGCTCCCACCCAGCACAGCTGAATAAGCACAACAGAGAACTGAGAGTAATTGTTGAAACAGTACAATTATTTGAAGTTAATTAGTTTAATAGTATTTAAGAGTAGGCCAGTAGCCAGCGTTTATTATTCTGTTTCCAGATCTGTAATGCCCTGTGGCAGTGATTCACAGAACCACAGAATGGCTGAGGTTGGAGGGGACCTCTGGAGGTCAAGTGGTCCAGCGTGTTTCCTTTTGTTCAGACGGACCCTTCCGTGTTTCAGTTTGTGTCCTTTGCCTCTGGTTCTGTCACTAGACTCTGAAAAGAGCCTGCCCATGTTTTCTTTACACCCTCCCTTTGTGTATTTATACACATCATAAGTTTGCCCATGAGCCTTCTGTCCTCTAGGCCATACAGTCCAAGCTCTCTCTTGGTTGATGCTGAGCAGAGAGGTTGATGAGCTTGCTTCTTAAAAAAAAAAAAAATGACACTGCATGTTGCAAGGCACTGTTGGAGGTTGGTTGGACTTGATTCATATGTTGTAGGTATCAACTGATATCATATATGTCAATTTTGTATATTATATTAAGAGAAAGCTGCGCAAAGGTTTCTTTAAAGTTGTTAATTAATTAAAGTTTTTACTCTTGAATCAAGAGTAGTTCTGGTAAGAGACATAAATGTAGTTGTGTTAAGGTTATTCTATACACAGAGGAATAACTGATAAACTTAGCACTGTAATTAATAGATTTTGTAATATGAAAATATGGAAAGTTTATCTTTACCTGTAGGAGAGTAAAATTACATTTGTTATTATTTATATGCTAATACCACGTGCTTGCCGTATTTCATATTTGTCTTTTTATTACTTTACCATACCTAATAGTGTAAAACAAGCCCAAAAGGGGATTAAGAATTTGTTTCAGTAAGTGTTCAGATTCCTAGAGCCAGATTCACAAATGTTATACAGCAAATATTTGAATACTATTTAGTTGAATAGTATTTAGTTGGCTAACCAATTTAAGAAATAATGCATGTATATTAAGTAATTGATAGCTCCATTCTGAAAATAGTCTGTTGCCTGTATTACTGGTGTCTCAAAGATACACTACTTCTAACTAAAGGAAGCACTGAAATAAAAAAATGTTAAAGTTAACTTTGTAACAAACGCTGCAGGAAGGTTACTTCTTTCCTGGACTTGTGCAGGGCGTTTGACACTGTTCCACATGACATCGATTTGACACTGTCCCACATGACGTCCTTGTCTCTAAAATGGAGAGACATGGATTTGACAGATGGACCACTCGGTGGATGAAGAACTGACTGGATGGTCGCACTCAAAGAGTTGTGGTCCATGGCTCGATGTCCACATGCAGACCAGTGACAAGCCGTGTTCCTCAGGGGTCTGTTCTGGGTCCAGTGCTGTTCAACATCTTTCTCAGCAACATGGACGACGGCATTGAGTGCTCCCTCAGTAAGTTTG